TAATGAACAAAACATTTATTGATTTAATGATTTAATGAACAAAACATTTATTGATTTAATGAACAAAACATTTATTGATTTAATGAACAAAACATTTATTATTTTAATGAACAGAACATTTATTGATTTAATGATTTAATGAACAAAACATTTATTGATTTAATGAACAGAACATTTAATGATTTAATGAAAAGAACATCAACCCTAACCTAACTCTAACAGTATCTTATAAACATTTCTCAACCCCAGAAATTCTAATTCCTATTCCTCCTAGACATAAAAACACTTCTCATAACAACAGTTGTTCATATTATCCTTTTCCACTCTTTTATTTCCTCCTTTGTTCATATGTCTTCAAACTTAGAACTCGCAGGTCCACTTGATACTCTTCTTGTTCCAGAAGGTCTCCAGTGAAGCAGACCATGTTTAAACCTCCTGTTTAACATCAGTAGTCTACTGATCTTTTCATCACCAGTGTGGGCTGTGGGGACAGGGCTTCCCATGAATATCTCCATCAGGCTCAGACTTTGCTCTTTGAAGGAAATCCTTTTTTAAGACCTCTGATTGTGGTCTCATGACATCATCTCCTCCTGCGTGACTGACAAGTTTTTTCAGAGCTGGATACTCAGCTGTGAGATCAGACACCATCTTATCAGCAAAGCTAAGAACTTTGGCTTTTTTCTTCTTCCTAAAGCATTCAATCTTTCCTGCAGCTTTGTCACCTAAAACCAGTGTTTATGGGTTTGTGATAGTCTCTTTCTGGACTCGGTTTGGTTTATGGCTGAATCTGGTTTCAGATTACTCACTGTTGTATGAAGATCAGGTTTTTTTCTGACACACAGACTTCTCTAAGTCACGTAAATCTGTTTTGCAGGAAAGTTTCTGTGTCCTCTACTGGCTCAGTATCTCTGGTTGCTTTGATAACAGCCTGGTGTTGTCTTGTCCTTGGCGTGGGGGGAGAACATTTCTGTAGCTCCATGCATTCTGTTTCATCTAAATACTGTGTTCTCCCTCTCAGCTGTCGTATAACAATATATAACTATTATTTGGATTTCATGCCAAGTTTGTTCCAGGAAGGACCGCTCCTTGATTCACTTCCAATCTGTCCCATTTGCAGCCTTTCATGTTTATCACACATATTAACATGTTACAGTTTGAGAAAAGGTGCATTATGGGTAATGGTTGGGTCTGTTAGGTCTCAGAAGTCTTGTTGTTTACTCCAGTAAAACTCAAACCAGTTTCTTTTTGAAGTGAACTGGTCTAAACCAGTCAGACGTGCTCAGTCGTCTTCTCTCTGTCCTGTTATGAACATTAACTGATTTTAGCTGCTGTGGCTGAATGGTTAGGTCAATTAAATTGTACTGGAACCAGTGGGTTGTCAGTTCAACACCCCATTCCATCCATCTCAGTCCTTGAGTCCTTGGGCAAGACACTTCACCCACCTTGTCTGCTGGTGGTGGTCAGAGGGCCTGGTGGCTAAATGTAGCTTACCTTCATCGATGGGTGAATGTGTGTATGAATGGGTGAATGTGTGTAGTAATGGGTGAATGTGTGTATGAATGGGTGAATGTGTGTATGAATGGGTGAATGTGTGTATGAATGGGTGAATGTGTGTATGAATGGGTGAATGTGTGTATGAATG